CTGTTTTCAGAGGCTTTTTGGCCACGGTCCTGCCTGCCCTGAGCGCGACCTGCGGTGGGCAGGGTTTGGGATAAACTCCCGGATTCCAGTATCTCCGCAGTGACTCGCCCCAGGTTGTGCGCTCCATGCTTGGTCATTTACTCATATGGTCTTTTTATCTGTAACAGGTTGCCCTGCTGAAACCATCAGGCATTTCCTCTGGAAGCTGGACTGTAAGTCAAATACTGACTGGGCTGCTGTTTGCCTAAATCGCCTATCTTAAAATGCAATCACAAAACGAAGACTCGGACGAAGGCCTGGGAGGGGAGCTTGATGCGCAAGAGGTGTCGGGAGAGGAAGATACCAGAAATGAAACTGCCCACACAGAAGATGAAGGCAATTCTGTCAGCACAGGTGAGCCCTTCCAGCCGGCTCACTGGAATGAATTTAGGGAACTTCAGTGGCCTAGAAGTCAAGTCTGTCATTACTCACCTGGATGCAATATGAGTCTATTCTTTCTCCCACTGAAGTCACTGAAAATCTTGCCGTAGCTGAAGCTTACTCAAATGCTATCATGAGGCTTTTTTTTTTTTTCCCCGTTTCTTTAATTTTCTTCTTGCTGGAGAGATGCCTTTTCCTGTGTTGCAATCATACAGCTAACCCAATCTCTACATACTTTAATTACAATCATATTTAAATGAGCTGGTACAATCATCTTGTTTGCACTGTCTCTTTTTAAGTGTATGGACTACAAGCTCAACTAAAAGGTGTGGAGCAAGACTCTGAAGAGGAGAATGTTGAAAATGCAATTAATCAAAGGCAGCCTAAAGACAGCTTGAATGAGTATAGTACTGGAGACACCTTCCAAAGAGCGCAAAAGGGTAAATTTGTAGAAGAGCTAGAGTAACAAACGGTGCTTGAGATGACGCAGATGATCTACTTAGGGATATGATTTAATGGGGATTAGGGACGGTTGGACCCGATGATCTCTAAGGTCTTTTCCAACCTAGAAATCTATGAAATCTATGAAATCTATGCAAAGTATACACTCTTGTTAAGTTATTGCTAATGAGAGGTAATATATAGTAGATGTCTAAGACCCCAGAACATTGGTCCTAGTAATTTGTTAATAGTCACTGTACATTGTAGTAATCTTAAGACTAGTGGGTACTACCTGGCTCCCAGATCTAAAAAAAATAATACAAATTTCAACAATTCATTTCGCTACTACTTACTTTACGTCTTTGCCTTCTAAAAAAGTCAAGTTTCCTTTCATTAAAAATGTCAGCAAAAGTCTTGGTTAGAACTTTTCTTGAAATTCCTATTCAAGTGCTCGTCGATATTTCTCTAAAGTAGTTGACAACACGCCAGTTTTCACACCCGTGCTGTTAAACTGCAACTTGTTTTCTTGCTTACAAAGATGGTAAAACTGGAGAGAAAGCCTCCAACTGTATGTGCAGAGCAGATCAGCAGAATGAACAAAAATCAGATGGTGATCACAAATCGGTAATCAGTTCCTTCAGTCAAAGGACAGAAGAAAGGACGAGCTGTGTAAGGTAATAATACGTTGTTTGGGGATGGTTTTTATTGAAGTCTTGGCGTCACTGAAGTCAATGGGAGTTTTGCTATTCTACATGTTAATCTTAATTCAGGAGAATCATTTTGAAGGTGAACTTGAGAATAATCAATAAATCAGGAGCTGGTGATATTTCTGGCATCTGTACAGCTTTTTTTATTTTTTTACAGCCACAGTTGCAAACTTATGTTTTAACTCCATGATGTAGTCTGTTTAATGGATCTGGAGAAAATTGTGCAAACTCTTGTGGGAGTCATTTGTCAGCAGATTTGACCGCTTCTCGGCATCAATTCAGACAACACATTGTATTAATTTATCACAATGTAAATATTACAGTCATCAAGATAATTTTTAGCAGAGGAAATCCAGAGGTGCCTCAGGTGGTTAACAATAAAACACAACTTCTTTGTAAGCTCTGGCTCTGATTTTGGTCCAGCCTAAACCAGCACACAGTGCAATGGCTGTTTGTTAACAGTTGTGAAATGGGATTATTCTCGTGTTGTCTCTGATTAAGCACATTGCAAGCAAATAATAAAATTAAAACCCGTATTTAGTACTGTTTAATAGCATTGTTGAAAATCTGGTTATGTGGGGTAGTTACGGAGTGATAAATAAGGAACAATGAAGATTGACCCTCCATTCCTGTACCTGCTTACATGTTGGTGAAACTTCCCAGAGTTTATGTTCCTGCTAACTTTAACATAGTTGTTCTACTAGAGACAGGTACAGCCCTTTGAAGTTAAGGGAAAGGCTGTCCCTCAGTTATCATAGAAATCTTCAGTTATCTTCGTTATCCCGGGCCAATCAGCCTGGCACACTTTGGAATTAAGTTCTTATGAAGAATGATGGCAGAGAGCAATAACTGCACATAGGATAATCCCTGTTTGAAGGAACACGTTTTATGATCCTACAAATTGCCTGAGGATGCTAATAACTTGATTAAATGCTACTACAAATAGCACAATGAAAAACAGTGGGATATACTGCAAGTAACCAGCACAAAATAATGCACCTGGGCTGGCAATACAAGAAAACAGTATATATTTAAAAATTTTGCTTCAAGTTTATGAATTGTTCATTCCTTCAGAGATTTACGTCAGGCACGCTTGGCTTACGGGCTGACAATCACACCTTATATTGCCTCAAGAACTCAATTGACTAGTTGACTTTACTACAGTTTTGTTCTTGAGCAATATTGAGATTTTTAGTGTAGTAAGCAAATATATTTCGTAAGTAAGTAAATATATCTAAAAGCAAATTAATTACAAAAGATTTAACTTCGCTACTCAAGTTGTTATTTTGAAAATATCTTCATGCCAAGAAAATCTTACTGTTACAGACCTTAACCCTACAAATACTGATGGCCACAAATGCAAAGTTCAATTTGTTAATATGGAATTTAGCAGTAGAAAATAATTTTGGATCAGGTAACATTGTACTTCTGCAATATTTCTTTAAGTGAGAGATACCTATTGAAAGTTTTATTCTGAAATTTTGTTTTATAGAATCTAATCTTTCTAAGCAGGAAGATATAGATATTTTCTGCTTTGGAATGTTTTTGCTAGGTGTGTTCCTGATGGGTTCCCAAGTTACTTGTCTGTAATGTTAGTGCCATCTGTAGCTTTGGCTTTGTTTGGGCACTGGTGGCTGCCAGTCCAGGGGCTTTACCCCTGTAGCCCACAGCTTCCCTGAGTAGCCTTTTCCTGCTTCTCGCTTGCATTAATCCCAACAGGAGCAGAGCTTAATATTAATAATATTTAATATTAATTAAAATTGAACAGGTGTTATTTATTTTCTTACTGTGGCATTCCTAGCCCATCACAGTGGCATATTAAAACTGTCTTGGGTGCTATTTCAGAGTCGGCATTTCGTTAAAAAGTTAGGTTGATGACTATTGATTTTTCTAGTCGGAGAAAAACGTTGCATATTGGCTGTGCCACCAAAGGTCCTGCACCAAAGCAGCATGAATGGAGGGAAGAACTGAAAAGGAAGGAACCAAAATGTAACACAGAATCAGCCTGCTCTTTTCCAAGAAGTTGGACTCTCTAATTCCCTACCCACTTTCCTGCGAAGAGCGTGGTTACTCACTTTGAACGGGCTGCTCTAAAAAAACTACTGCTTTTTTATTTGGAGTCTAGTCTGGAAAGCTGTAGCTATTGCTTTTGCATAAAAGAACTATCATGTTGCATTGAAATCTGTTAAAAGTCCAAAGATTTCAGAATGTGCACTGACATACATTTTTTGTTTTGCCTCTGTTCCCATTATTATTTTAGAATGACAAAAAAGATTCTGCGAGACATTTGTAAACAGCATAAATTATACTTGACCCCATACTTAAATGATACACTTTACTTGCATTATAAAGGTAAGATGTCAACATGACTGTTTAGATTTACTTAAAAGTAGCATTTTAACATGGAATCTGTTTTATGGCTCACTGAAGCAAGGTATCTAATAATTCTTTTAAATCAGAAACATAAGTTATTTTTATATAATAATGACATTGTGAAACAAAATGAGTCAATGTGAAGATAGAAATATGAACTGATTGTAGACCTAATTCACTTTGTGGAGTCATTCAGAGGATCAATAGGAATCAGGGGACACTTCCCCTTCCTCCAAAAAAACCCGAAACCAAAACAGTAACCTCTGGGAAATCTCTTAAAATAGTGATGTGGTTTGTGTTCAGAGGAAAAGATGTGTTTCTTCTTAGATGTATTTCTATAAAGAAGCTGTTTTCCAGCTTTGGGGGCTTTTTTTACTGCCAGGTAAAAAAGATCAGGAAGGAAACAAACAGTAAACACTTGCTGCATGTTTTCAAATACTACTGAAAGAAAAAAAAAAATTGCTGGAGTGAACATGGGTCATCCTCTTGTGATCTTTGAGCAGGTTTTTGCACGATACGGTTAGCTGGTTCAGGTTAGCATAAGAATCATTTTAAATAAATAGGACATGCTAAACCTACCTTCCACATTTGGCCTTGTTTTTGCTATTTTTCCTTAATATGTATTATTTGAGCAACTGAAGGGCTGCAGGAGTTACAGGCCAAAGGTAGCTATATATTTTTGCCCTTTATGGGACAAGTACTGTTAATTCAGTGGAAATATTGGCAGCAACTTAAGCACAAGTGTTCTCACAGGCTGTTTCAGCAGCACTGGTATAATGACATTTACTCTTCCAAAGACTTGTTTTCAGGCAATGCAATCTCATTTCAAAACATCTTTTTCTGCAGGATTTGACCGCCTGGAGAATCTTGACGAGTACACCGGATTGAAGTGTTTATGGCTGCAATGCAATGCCTTAACAAAAATTGAGAATTTGGAGGCTCTGTCGGAGTTGCGTTGCCTCTACTTGCAACTCAATTTCATTAACAAAATTGAAAACCTTGAACCCTTACAAAAGCTGGATTCCCTCAATATCAATAACAACTACATTAAGACCATTGAGAATCTTTGTAAGAACTGTTGGTGCAATTATTTTAACCTATAATGAGCCCATGTTCCTAAGCTTTGACTAAACTAAGCTATTAGTAGTGGCACTAGTTAAAACTTTGCACAATATCCCCCACCAAAGTCCACAAGGCTCCTTTTGAGAGTCAAACCTATGTATTTTGCAATTTAAACATGAGAAAACAGAAAAGACACAGTAATTACTTTCATGTGGATACCTAGGACAATTAAGTAGTGTTTCCTCACTTCTTAATACCATCTCAGCACTTATCTGTGGTGCAGACAGGCTGACAATCCAGTTTTCACCATTTATATTACAGTTAAGATGTGCTTTGGCAGTTGCAGACATCATTACCAAATCTTTTATGTCTGTTAAAGGATTTATTCCATCTTCAGCAGAAAATAAAAAATAATTCTTCTACATTATTATTTGTGGACATTGGGAGTAATTTACACCCAAGCTCTTGCTTTTGTGTGACTGACTAGTTTGAAACGTGAATTAAAACCAACCACCATCCTAAAACCAAACAACTATTTTTCCTGGGGTGAAGAAAGCAGCTTCAGAGGCCTAACCAAAAAGTGCATATAGCAGTATAACAAATTTAGAAAAAAAAACACTCCCAATTCATTATAAACCGTTATTTTGACATAGCAGTTTTCTACTTGCTCCAGAAAACCTTCTGTGAAGCAATGACTCTCACCTTTCCTTTCCTTGTACTGTTCTTGTCTGACAGCTTGTCTGAAAGTCCTGCAGACTCTGCAGATTGCTCACAATAAGTTGCAAACGGTGGAAGACATACAGCACTTGCAAGAATGCCCAAGTATTTCTGTTCTCGATCTTTCCCACAACAATCTCAGTGACCCAAATATCATAACAATTCTGGAGACCATGCCTAATTTGGTAAGCTCAATATAGCTGAGGGTTTGTATCATGTATATGGATGAATCCCATTAAATGGTTTGGTCAGGTAGTCCAGTGCACAACAGGTATCGGTCTAAAAGCAACTTTATTAAACATTATTCGTTTTTTGTAGACTACCTGTAACACCCAGGATGTTTTATTCATTTCTAGGTTTTTAAATGATAGGGAAAGCGCCAGTTCAGATTGGGTTTATTTGCTACTCAACTGTAAAAATTGTTTCCTTGTTTCTCTAGCATGTGCTGAATTTGATGGGAAACCAAGTGATAAAGAAAATCGCTAATTATAGAAAAACACTTACTGTTCGACTAAAACAACTAACATATCTGGATGACAGACCGGTTTTCCCAAAGGACAGGTAAGAAACAGAGCCATCTTCTTTACACAGCAACAAAGCTCAAGTGTTAATGATCACTCATCTGGTTTTTGTCAATATTGTCGCAGAAGGAAAGGAAGACTGACCGGTATAATTTATTAAGAGTGGGTGACTTTGAGCACTAGAGTATTATACTATGGAGTTCTACATCTAACGTACCTAGAAAAAATGTGTATTTTTTCACAAGAGAATCAATACTTGAACAGAATTATTTTAAGCCAAGTCTGTAGACCAGAGGCAAATCCCGATTGCAACAGAAACTAACAAGTGTCTGGAAAAGCAGAGCCAAGATCAGCACTCCTGGCAGTTCTCTGGTGGTGTAATCACCAGCATTCGGGCATCTTGGTTTCTTCTGCTGCAGTTCCGCATACAAGATAAGATATACATGCATCCCTCTTGCGTAGGAGTCGTCATTGCTGCATGCTTTTTTTCTCTTGCAGCTATTTTATGCTGTTGCAAGCTATTTTAAATTTCTGTTTCGTTATAAAGATGGGCTTTTATAGCTATGTTACAGTGAGCTTTTGTGTTTTCATTAGAGCCTGTGCAGAAGCCTGGGCTGTTGGAGGGCGTGAAGCTGAGAAAGCAGAAAGGGAAAAATGGGAAACCAGAGAGAGGAAAAAAATCCAAGATAGCATTGATGCTTTAGCAGCAATCAGGCAAAAAGCAGAGGAAAAGAAAAGAAGAACATATGTGGAAGAAAGAGACGCAAGTGCAAAATGTGGAAATGGAGATTCAACAGACATCCTAGAAGGTTTGTGGTTACTCTTTGGAAGATGTCTGTGTCTGCTTCAATTTGAATGTTTAAAATAAATCAATAGTTCCTGAATGTTCAGAAGCAGGCTGATGCAATTTTTGGAAGATACTTATGAATCTTCTTTTCCCATACTAAATACTTTATTAATCTTGGTGCATCTTAGGTAAACCAGAATGATTTTAAGCAATCATCACCCTTCTCACTGCTGATGAAAGAAAAATACAACAAAGCGCTTTCTGTCCCAGTGTTTCAAGCTCTTGTGCTCTTCACCAGAGCAACCAGGTGCTAGTCTGGGCAATAATGGTTCCAGCAGGCAT